CCTTTTTATTTTGTGATCTTCGAGGAACTTCGTTATTTTGTTGCCGATAAATTATTTTCCATTGTCGCACACTATCTTGGCGGGTATCCCGAATCTGCATACGATGCGATCCCAAATGAAGTCTATAACTTCTTTCGCTCTGACTTTCTCGAAAGCCTGTACTTCAACCCGGGCTGATGAACCATCGGTGCATGTCTTTGGTATTTGTCACATTTTCGAACTAATTTCTTAGTATCTTTTTCCATACTGTCCCAATAATACCCTGCTCTGATGATTTTGTGAACCAGTGATTCGGCGCCGAAATGGTTCCCGCAAGTGCCCTCGTGAATTTCTCGTAGGACGTAATCAGTGTCTCCCGAACCCAAGCATATTGCCAACAGCCCATCGAACATCCTTCTGTACGTTGTTCCATCTTCGGCTAATGTGAATCGTGCAACTTTCGTTCGTAGAGTTCTTGACTGCTTAGGGTCCGACGAAAGTTTCCTATTTTTCAGGTAATCGATAAATTTGTTCCTCCAACCCCAAGTTAGGCTCGTGGAGTTTATTTCGACGTGGCCTTCTTCGACTACCGACTTCGAAAGCCGTTCGACAGTCCCCGAGCTAATTTCATCATCTTCGACCGATGACCCCAAATTTGCAAGGGCATCGGCCTCAGCGTTCTACTCTCGAGGTACATGGTGTAGGGTCTATTCTTTGAACCGGTGTAAGGTTACCTGTAATTTGTCTAAGTACCTTTGCATTTGATCTTCTCAAACTTCGAAGGTTTTATTAACCTGGTTAACCATGAGTTAGGAATCACACTTGGCCTCGATGACTTCCGCTCCCAAACCTTTAGCTAGCTCGAGACCTGCAATCATGGCCTCATACTCGGCCTCATTGTTAGTCAACTTAGGGGTTTTGATAGATTGTCTAATCGTATTGCCTGTGGGTGGCTTCAACGATGCCTAACCCGGACCCCTTCATATTCGAAGCTCCATCTATGAAAAGGGTCCACACCCCCTGAGAATGTACCCGATATTAGCAATAATTCCCTTTCGACTTCGGGTAGGAGGGGTGGCGTAAAGTCGGCCACGAAATCTTCCAAGATTTGAGAATTGATGGTCGTTTAGGGTTGATACTTGATATCGTACCCACTGATTTCGATGGTCTATTTGGCTTGTCGGCCTGAGAGCTCGGGCTTATGCAAAATGTTGCGAAGAGGATAAGTGGTTACAACACAAATTGGGTGGAATTGGAAATACGGTTTTAATTTCCTAGAGGCGCTTATTAAAGCAAGTGCTAGTTTATCTAAGTGTGGGTACTGGGTCTCTGCTTCTCCTAAAGTTCGGGAAACGTAGTAAACAGGAAATTGCGTACCCTGCTCTTCCCGAACTAGGACACCACTTACCGCGACCTCCGAGACGGCTAAGTATAAATAGAGTTGCTTGTCCGCTTTTGGGGTGTGAAGCAATGGCGGGCTCGAAAGATATCGTTTCAATTCTTCCAATGCCTGTTGGCATTCTAGGGTCCAAGTGAAATTGTTCTTCTTTTCCTGCAAATGTGTCAAATGGTCCTCTGTGCGTAGGGACTTAACTAGTATGTCATCAATATAAACCTCCACTGATTTTCCTATTTGTTCTTCGAACATTCGGTTTACTAGGCGTTGATAAGTAGCACCAATATGTTTTAGCCCAAACGACATTACATTATAGCAATAAGTTCCATACCTAGTGATAAATGAAGTTTTTTCCTGATCTTCCGGGTTCATTCGTATTTGGTTGTTCCCGGAGTAGGCATCGAGAAAGCTGAGAGTCTCGTGGCCGGCCGTGGTATCGATCAAGCGATCGATGTTCGGCAAAGAAAAAGAATCCTTTGGGCACGCTTTGTTTAAGTCTTTGTAGTCTACACACATTCTAAATTTATTCCCCTTCTTGGGGACTACAACTACGTTTTCTAACCAATCGGGATATGTTACTTCCCGGATGGATCCTATTTTAAGAAGTTTGGTTACCTCGTCCTTGATGAACGCGTGCTTTATCTCGGATTTTGGCCTTCTTTTCTGCTTTAGTGGTCTGAACTTTGGGTCCAAACTCAATCGATGAGTGGTGATCTCGGGTGGAATCCTTGTCATGTCAAGGTGGGACCAAGCAAAATAATCCATATTTTTAATAAGGAATTTAATGAGTTTTTCCCTCAGCTCGGGAGTTAACCTCGTGCCCAGGTATACCTTTCGATCGGGCAGATGCTCGATCAGTATGACTTGTTCCAGCTCTTCGACCGTTGACTTCGTGGCATCAGAATCATCGGGGGTTACGAAGGTTCGAGAGATCATGCAATCATCATCCTCGATAATTTCCTGCTATTCCGAATTGGTCGAAGCCGGCAACTGTGGTTGCTATTTGACCTTCTGCTTCTCCTTTGATTCTGGTCCCTTTGACGTTGAAAGTGAAGATATTGGTATCACCTCATCGATCGCGAACATTTCCTTCGCAGCATGCTGTTCCCCATGTATTGTTTTCACCCCGTCCGGCGTTGGAAACTTTATCATTTGATGGAGAGTCGAAGGGACTGCCCTCATATTGTGAATCCAGGGCCTTCCGAGTAGGGCGTTGTACCTCATGTCGCCCTCGATTACATGGAACTTGGTTTCTTGAATAGTTCTAGCCACGTTTACCGGTAGAATGATCTCTCCTTTAGTCGTTTCGCTGGCCATGTTGAAGCCGTTTAGGACCCGATCTGCGGGCACAATTTGGTCTTGTTGGCCAAGCTGCTCTACGACCCTTTATCGGATGATATTCGCCGAGCTACCTGGATCCACTAAAACACGCTTAACTTGAACTTTATTCATAAAGATAGAAATTACCAGAGCGTCATTGTGGGGTTGAGAAATTCCTTCTGCTTCCTCATCGTTGAATGATACGGTGCCTTCTGGCACATAATCTCGGGTCCGTTTTTCCCTAGTAATTGATACCTTAGTGCATTTGAACATGGGACCTTGTGGGATATCGACCCCGCCAACGATTATGTAGCTTACATGCTGTGGCTATTCCTGTTCATTTTTCCTGTTGGCGTCCCTTTCTCTGAAATGATTCTTGGTTCGATCACTTAAGAACTCTCAAAGGTGGCCCTTGTTGAATAGATGGGCTACCTCCTCTCTTACTTGCCTGCAATCCTCGGTTTTGTAGCCATGTGTGCCATGATACTTACACATCAGATTGGGGTTTCTTTAGGAAGGATCAGTCTGTATGGGCCTCGGCCATCTGGTATCTTTGATTCTTTCGATTGCCGATACAATACCCGATGTGTCGATATTAAAATTATACTCCAACAATCGTTGTGCCTCTGTATGATTGGCGTGCTTATCAAAACCATTTTTGCTCATAAGTCCCCGAGAACTCTATCCGCGATCGCTTTTTCGATCATTCCGGGTGGAGTTGCATTCCGGGCCGTCGTTCCTGCGATCTGCGATGTATGGCTGATATTGGTCTTTGTTCGACCGAGGCTCCCTGTCGATGTCCCTCTGATTTTTGACTGCGGACTTGTTTGGATATACCGAGCCGGAAGAAGCTCCTAACTGGTCATCTTTGACCCTGATCTTTGAATGATACCGATTATGTACATCGGCCCAAGTCACCGCTGGATATTCGATCAAATTTTGCTTCAGTTGACGTGATGCTATCGAACTCCGTTCATTCAAACCCTGAGTGAAAGCTTGAACAGCCCAATCATCTGTGACTGTTGGCAAATCCATGCGTTCCATTTAAAATCGGGACACGAACTCCCTTAGCATTTCATTATCCTTCTGTTTTACTTTGAAAAGGTCCGATTTCCTCGTCGCAACTTTTATGGCCCTGGCGTGTGTCTTTACAAAAGAATCTGCCAACATGGCAAATGAGTCGATGGAATTTGGCGGCAGGTTGTGATACCAGATCATTGCTCCCTTTGACAGAGTTTCTCCGAACTTCTTCAATAGAACAGATTCAATCTCGTCATCTTCCAAATCGTTACCTTTGATAGCGCATGTATATGAAATACATGCGCTAGGTGGTCCCATTGTACTTAGGTATCCGGCATATGAAATATTTTGGGAATGGGCTTCGGTGCCGCACTTGGAGGGAACGACTTCTGTACGAACATCCTCGAATCTAGACCTTTTAGGATCGGGGGTGCCCTTGGTATTTGATCAACCCGTGAATTGTACATTTCTATATTCTTGTCGTTGGCTTCGATTTTCTTTTCTCCTGATTCGATCCGTTTGGTGAGCCCCTCGAGCATCTTCATGATGGCGGGGTTTGTTCTCGATCCGTTATCGTTCAATATTTCCTGTATCGATTCGACCTTATGAACAACTTCTTGCGATGTATCGAGTTCAATTCTGCTTGGTGCTCGATTTTGATTCTGGAGTTGCGCTATCGCAGCTTGCTGAGTTTGCAACATTTCAAATATCATTCGAAGGCTAATCCCACCTTCTTCACTGCTTTGTGCATTTTGATCGGCTGCCCGAGTGTCTCTGCGAATACTATTTTTAGGGTCGGTGCCTAAATCCCCACGAACGGCAACACGAGAATTGACATCGACCGGATCCACGGCCTATGGTGCGTCGGGATTGATTGGAGGCACTCCGTTTCCCAGGCCCACGTGATCATTTTCTCCATGAAGACCAAGGCCGGTGTCAGTGTGAGTGGGTACTGCTTGAGAGTTTGACATGTTGATTCCTGAAGTCAAAAGCACTTACAAGAACAAGTGTAAAAATAGTGTGTGTTATGAAGGCTAAAATATTAAGCAATCACTATTATCCTTAGTCCCACGGGCGCCAAATTGTTTTACCCTAAAAATCGAGTAACAATTAAACTTGTAATATGGTTTTAAGGATACACGATTTTGCTCAATACTGATTGATTAACTTAGAGATAAATGATGCGAATTGACAAGAATGTAAAACAAACCAATGCTTGGACAATGCCCTCAAGCTGATGAACCCTCGAGAATAATGAAGTAAGAATAATTTAAAGAACGGTAAGTTGATGAACCGAACTAAGAGATATTATATTGCCTTGATATTCGTGAATGTAATATATTTACAAATGATGGGGACTCCCCCTTATATACTAGAGGATTCCTAATTATGGTACAATTCTAATAACAGAAATAAATCCCATGATTGGTACCAATAACCGCTCTTGATTTGATCTGTTCCGAGATTTTCGCCGTGATCTTCGACCGATTACGGATATCTCGCCATTCTGTTATTATGCTCCCCTCGAAGTCGGTCATACTTGGTCTCGATTCTTGCTGGTCTCGGTCTCAACGTACACTTTGATGTCTCATCTTCGAGCTCGGGTCTGATTTATTACGAGGCTACCCTCGATGCAACTCCCTTGTCTCGATCAAACAACAAAATCGGGTAGGCCCGATTTTGACCGTATACACCTCTTTCTACTAATTTATCATTAATTACGTAGCTTGGAAACAAGAGCAAAAACCTGAAAAAAAAAAAGTTAACTAATATTATCAACACCAAAAAAAAAAAATTAAAACGATGAAAAGAGTCAGAATCGAACGGAGACTTGGATAATAAAAAAAACGGGGCAAACCAACTCTAGAAAAGATGGAAGAAGACAAAGTAGGTCAATAGGTTGGAGATTTTGAGTTAAAATAAAAAAAATTAAATGATAAAATAGAATTATGGAGTAATAAGTAAGGACATAATTAGAAAATAAAAATAGGAAACGACCGCACCACACCAAATCGGTTGTTTCATAAAATGGTGCTTTTGGTTGTTCCGGAACAATGGATTTAACAATACAATACAATCCATTTTAAATAAACAATCAAAACAAACATTGTCTTAGGATAACAATACAATACAATACATTGGGTAACAACCATCCAAACAAGCTGTAAATAGGTTTCTACTTTGAAATCAATTTCTTTAGGCATACAAATAATCCACAAGTTACTGGAGCAATGATAGAAAAAGTAGCTAAGTGTAATACTAATGTCTGATTTAAGATAGAAATTATTACCACAACCTATAGTTTCAACAGAAAAATTCAATAATCAAATGAGCCTTCCACAATTTTCCTCTAAATCCAGCATAATATTGAAACAAACAGAAAGACAAAAAAGAATAAATGTTCTTTTCAAATAGAGATATAGAAAGACGAAGTGAAAAATCATAAGTAGAAGAAAGTGTATCAAATGTAAAATAGATTCACAAGCAAAACGCGAAATTTACCTTAGAATTGTAGAAATAAGTGGAGTAGAGACAGAACTTTGTATATATCGTAGATCATTTGGCTAATTTTGAGTTAGGGTTTTGATGGATGAAATTGGGCCGATTTTGTTGGGTTTCTTCTAAAAAGTTGTGTGTGAATTGAAAGTTATGAAGAGGTTGGTTCTCTGTGGACCATCAATGATGGCAAGGAAGACAACCGGGAATGCGAGGGGTCTCGTCGGTGCTAGGGAAGAAATGAACTAATGAAGTATGTTGGGAGAAAAAAAGAGAGGAGAAGAGCGGTGGGTGTTTGTTGATGCAGTAAAATAACGAATATAATCTTGATTTGAAAGTAAATACCTTCTAAGCAGACACGTCGAAGCCTAGCTTTCCTATTAAATAGTAAAGTAATGTGCAAGAGGAAATAATCAAAATGGTCCTTAATGTATTGGGGTTGCTTTATTTTGACCCTTAATATATCTCCCTTTATGGATATAGTCCTTTATGTATGTTATAAGGTGATATGTTTGGTCGAAAGCCCTATCCCTAACAGATTTTTCAAAATGGGCTGTTAAGTTTGACCCCTTTCCCCATGTGCCGCTCACGTGAGATAACCAAATAACGTGAAAATCATTCTCCGTGAAAGCTCATTCTCAAACTCAGAATAGCTACGCTTTGTCAAGAATAATGCTTCAATCTTCTACATCTCTGCACTTGTTGTTCTATTTGCAGGTATAAAAATAATGCATTTTACTTCACTGTAAAATAAACAGCACTGCTAAAAGAAATGCACTTCCGAAACTTGAAAAAACAGTTCTGTAGAGTACTAAAAAACAACACTTCAGAAGTTTAAAAAATTGCAATGCAAAATATCTGAACTTCAAAGACTGTATTTGTTAAATTTTTTAGAAGACAAAAATTTAAGTGCCGTTTTAGTAGCATCATTTCAGCAGTACAAGAAAACAAGAGCAGGGAGATCGAGTGATAGACACTTATACAATAGCATGGACATACCCAATAGCGCCTCCCATTAAGGTTATTTTTTGAATTTTCAGAAAAAATATATTAATTACAAGAAATAGGTATGGTATAAAGATTGAATTTTGAGTTTCGACTTTCGGGTTCTAAAAAGGAAATTGATGAAACAAAGGATTTTCAAGCAACCTCTATTACTTCCAAATATACTAGTGATTTGATTAGGGCTTCTGTATCTATCTTTCAGTAATCTCAATTTTCCTTAACAATGCCACAAAAGGCTTCAAACCTGCTTCCATCAAGGTTGTTTTAACTTTCCAATCGAAGCAACTCCAGGTATTAGGACTTCAAAGATGAGTATGACCAGAGAAGAGAGAAGCTCCTTCTTTCGTCGGCATTTTTTCACTATGCATTAGGGTCAAGAATATCTATTAGTCGAAAGAGGGGCAATTTCTACTGGCAAATCCATTTGGTTACAAGATATTACTGTCTGATATTAGTCCTTTTTTCCTCTATTATTGCGAGTGGCCAGTTCGGAGTCGCTGAAGTATTTGGTCCTGTAGATTTCTGCAAGGACATGGAATTATGACAAGCAATCAAGTGCTTGTGAAGTAAAATTTTATAAACTTATCCCACTCTCAACATTCTTATAGAAAGAAAAGGTTGCCTTCTTATTAAGTTACGAAAGCAAAGAGTCAAAGAAGGTTTGGCATGGCAACCAGAGTAACGTTGCTTGAACTTGCTATAGTGTCACGCCATTGCGTGAAAAAAGAATGAATTTATTGGCATCATGTTAGTCCCTAGGTTTCACATATTAATTTTGATGACACCAAACCAATATAAGCTTTAAAAAAAAATATTTATTTGTGGTTGATCACGCCCAACTATGCCTTATAAAAATGATTAAGCGGTCATTGCAAATATAATCCAGTTTAAAAGTCCGGAGTCGAATCCCACAGAGAACTAAGGCTTAGCTACAATTGTTCAATATTGCAAAGAAACACGAGTTCGAACAATGCTTAAGTTATAAAGGTTAGAGACACAATTAAGGAGGCCTAGAGTTATGATTTCCCTAATTTTTGAAATTCTTCCTGCTATGTCTCCTATACTTTCGCCTAAGTATTCTCTATCGATCGTGAGTACTTCGGGTGTCGTAATTCTCTTTCGAGCAACTATCACAATTTACTAGACGTATTCTTTCGAGCTACGCTAGCTGGCACTAGTTCACCGCTCACCAAGATTACACCAAGGTTTCGTTATACCTAATCGCACAAATAACCCTCCGTATTGATTCCTCACATACGTTAGGAGTGTTTTTGTTTTACAACTACCTAAATGTGTACCCTTTCCAAGCAATACACTGTCACGACCTAAATTTTTCACCTTAGGATGTCGTGATATCACCTAGTCTCTAAGACTAGATAAGACTAACATGTATAGAGAAATAGCGAAAATAATAATAAAACAACCATTAAACCATCGTAACAAATCTCAATAGCACAACTGATAGATAACTCCTAATATCTAGTGGAACTGAGTCATCAACTCTACAGAATATTCTAAAATGTCTACTACAACACTGTCTGATAAGGGAAATAACAGTAATGAGAAGATAACGGAAGGTGACCCCAAGGCCTGCGGACGTCGGGCAAGTATACATTGAAGTCTCCTGAAGCAGCAAACCAAACAATCTCTAGCGTCCAGCATGAGCAAACGTACCTGAATCTGCACAAAAAATATGCAGAAGCGTAGTATGAGTACACCACAATGGTACCCAGTAAGTATCAAGCCTAACATCGGTAGAGTAGTGACGAGGTCAGGTCAAGACACCTACTAGGAGAAGATAAACATAACAGAATATAATAACGGAAAGTAATGAAAAGCAGAGAAATGAATGATAACAAAGCAGTTTAGTAAGGTATACTAATGACAGAATCTTAAGCAAAAATATAACAAGAAGGAAACACGCAATGAAAACCACAAATAATCAAATACTGACGAAACCGGTAAGACAAGAAAGAATAAAAGTAACAAGAATTGTTCAACCAATAAATTGTCACGACCTAATTTCCCCTTCGTTTGGGTATCGTGATTGCACATAGTCTTAGGGACTAGGTAAGCCTAACATTAATTGAAACAGCAACATTATTTAAATAACATCTAACAATTTGAAATAGAAATCTCTTAAAATTTATAATTTCCAAAACCGGTAATACAAGTCATAAGCTCTACAGAGTGTTTGCTAGAAAACTTCTAAATACAATTGTCCAGAAATAAGAATAAATAGTGCAAAACAAAGTCTTGAAGATGACTCTGAAGCCTGCGAACGCAGTAGTAGGTTTACCTTGTGAGTCTCCACAACAACGACCCGCACAGCTGCTAACGACAAATACCTGGATCTGCACAGAAATATGCAGAAGTGTAGAATGATCATACCACAGCGGTGCCCAGTAAGTATCAAGACTAACCTCGGTGGAGTAGTGACGAGGAACAGTTAAGACACCCACTGGTCTATCAAACTGAACAAGTATAAGTATATGAACAATAGAAATATGATATCTACATAAAGACTATGCAATATGGCTCACAATATAGTAATGGCAATAAGAAAAGAAATAACAAGTATCAGCGGAATACCATAAAAAGGACACAGAAAAGTGAATGGAACACAACCTAAATCCGGAATCACAAATACGACAAAGACAAGTAATAACTCAGCAACTACAACCACCGTTACATAAGATTTTAGTCATCAAACTCCACGAGGTACCGAACCTCGGACAAATCACAACTCACGGGTCTCAATACCTGAACCCTAACACTTGGCATCATGTGCCCTCATAACACCTCATAACCGCACTGACGACTCACGTGCTAATAGAGCCATTCTCACGTAGAAGGTAAGTAAACAAGAGTGAGCATCTATTCCCAACAATATCAAGAAAACCTCTTATCCGATAAGAGAGCTTAACTGCGTGTATGCTTGTGCAAGTGTCCTAACATAGTTCATACCAGCAAATAAGCATAAGGAAAAAAGAACGGACAACACGTAAAATATTTTCTCACAACTTTTACAAAATAAAGCTCACATAGGTAAGTGTACCACTACACAAATATCAACAACAAGAATACCCCCAGGCCATCACAAATCATCACAAATCAATCCCTCACACAGCCCACCTTGTCTCCCAACGTTTGCAATAATAGAGTAAGTGACTGTCTTGTCTCGCCACACGTGCATAACAATGTTCCCACCTTGTCTCGCCACATGCGCAAATATCAATAGTAATAATAGCACGGCATAAACCACGTGCAACCCCATAACAACAACCGCACGGCAGAAACCTCGTGCATCACAATAACAACAACTGCACGGCAGAAACCTCGTGCATCACCACAATAAGTAAAACAACAACAATTATAATAATACAAGGATACGACAAATACATCAACTCAGAAATTCCAGAACTCAAGAAAACTGAGGAACTAATTCACAAGAAGTAGCCACAATAGAGAACGCTAGTCATAATAAGAACAACTCAACAAGAAAGGAAATATTATGTAACAACGGTCCACAATGTACAGTTCGACGATGAGGGAGCTAACACAAGACGAATAATTCCAAATAGGGACAAGTCAACTAAAATATAGGATGTCTAACTTCTTTTAAGGTTTGGCAATTAAGAGAGAGATACAACAACTTCAATTAAGGATAAGCAGTATAAGGATAATCATTTACCTCAATTAAGGATGAAGAATTACAGGAGAGATAATTATAATTTTCAGATAAAGATAAGTTGTTAGGTAAAAGACAACACGACAATAGAAGAGATAACAATTTCAGTTAAGGAACATATGAATCAAATGAACAACAAGAGTGGATCATGAAGCAATTAATTCCAATAAAAGCAGGTAGAAGTGAAACTAGAAATTAATAAACGTAATCGTAACGAGAACAACTGCATATTCAATGAATATAAGGACCTAAGAATCCCTAAAAGGCCAATTTTCCACAAATAAGTTTGGGCACGTACTCGTCACCTCGGGTACACGAACTATAATTAGCATAGAAGACTCAAATCCTAAGAGGTAGTTTCCCCACACGAAGTTAGGCAAGATACTTACCTCAAAGAAGACAGACCGATACTCAAAAATGAACTTCTCCGGTAAATTGACCTCCGGACGGCTCAAATCTAACCAAAATAACTTCAAAGCACAAATAAAACTCATAAAAAACTAATCCGGACCATAAAGCCTCAATCTTTATCAATGAGTGTTTCACGTCCGTACCTGATTAATGAGTGTTTCACGATCGCATATTTCCCGTATCCAGGCTTATGCTCAGAATATGGAGGATCGAAAACAACAGCAATACGAGAATCGTGACGAGGG